AGTTATAATGGAAAATGGGTTTTCATGAAAAATATTATAAAAAGCACTATACTATAGATATTTTATATACTTTCTGTATCGTGTGCATTCTATGTAATTTTTCACATTAAAATGTCCTGTAAATGCATCAAAATTCATAGGTCGTTCATAAATGTAGTTTTCATACTACAGAATACATGCTCTATTTGCGACTACTTCAGAGGTTCTTCTGCATTAACTTTGTGTACCGAATTAACACGCGTTAGCTACTAAAGTAATAAAGAATTGAATGAAAGAAGTACTCTACAACTTTAAAAAATTCCACTACAAAATATATCTTATTAAATTTTACATATGCGTATCTGTTGTCAATCTATAAAATTCGCAATCTTATGTATTCACAATACCACATAATTTTCAAGATTCAGTGAAATAAGGATGTTGAACAAAGATTTATATTTTGATATAAAGTCTTCGAATAGTAAGTATAAATGTCTGATATTATTATTAGCATAAATAACTCTTTATTAGAATAATTGACATCTTTATGTTGTATAATAGTTGTAATTAAATATATATTAAACGTCAGTTCATTTTATGAAACAGTTATAGAATGAATTAGACAGTAAAATGGAACTACACTTTCTAAAGGAAAGGAAACGCATGAAGGAAATTACAAAACGTACGAAGTGCAATGTTAACAAAAACGTTAATAAAATTAGAAGCGGTGTGAACTCTCATGAGTGCAAAGTCCTTTTAATTCAAGGAATAGTGTTCCGTCTAAATTACTGCATCATAAATCAATCTTCAAAGTTATCCATTCGTAACGCAATTGTAACAATTTAAGAAATTAGAAAAAACAGTATTATGTGATGGAGGATATTTTTTTATTTTATAAAATACGTGAATATAATTATTACTATGTGTATACAGAAACCTGTTTTCTAAATTCACACCTCAATCTTTTTTTCTGAAAATATAGGAAGTATACAACGTGGACATATAACACGTACAAATAAAATAATTTGCAAAATGAAAAAGAACATAAAATAAACAAAATTTTATTAATCGCTGTAACATAAAATATGAAATATATAATATGGACGAAATAACGAAACAGCTCCAGTTTTATGAATAATTATGTAAAATTAATAATGCATCAAAAGCATTCAATAATGTTTAAATATATTATTTTAAAATAAATTTTTCTTCGTTTGTAATTATTATGTCTCCAAAGTTTCATATAATACAGAACATCCGCTACAAATTCATATTCAATTTCCCAGAATTGTCTACTTAAATTGTAATATAAACAAATTCGAAAACACATTGTTATTTTAAACATTTAGTTACAATTCATTACAAATGTAGTTCTTTAAAATAAAAGACCAGAAATAAATAATAATAAAGATTATACAATTGATGGTATGTAATTCCATACTTTGTTAATAAACAAAAGAAATATAAATTGAACATTACCAAACTTATTTATGTCATGCCACTAAAACTCGTGTTTTATCTAACGTAATATAAAATAAACAATATTGTTCCAATGAAGGGATATTAACATTATTTGTGTCTATGTTACAATATTAAAAGACACCTTTTACAACTTAGACATAAAATTATTTTCTAAGTTTAATCATGTTTCCTCGATAGACTTCTCAACTTCTCCTATAATAATTATAAAATTAAGTCAAAGTTCAAAGCATTTATTTTTTGTGTTCTGATATATAACATTTCTTTCTTTATATTGATCTGTTTCAATTCCCTCTGAATCTATTTAAAAATGATATTTATTTAAAATTTTTTCTTTTGTGGACGAGATTTGTTAAATAAATATCATCCAATTATAAGAATAAGGTATGTAAATAAAGTTTATCTAAAACACACTTCGTTTCGTTAATTTTATTAAATTACCTCTTGATAAAAATATATATACACAAAAGACCGGTAGAAATAGTATTAATTACGATTGTGCTAAAGGATTTCAACAAATTTCTGGCACATGTGAGCGGAATGTGGAAGGTCAGTTATCTGTCACGATAACACTTGGCTAACTGGATAACTGATAACTGTATCCATGTCATTACCCACTTACCTCTCTGTTCATCTCTCTCCTACTTCTACATAGTGCTAGTGCTCATAAAATAAATCATATAATCGGATAACGAGAGCCGTCTCCTTGCTACTTGAAAGAGTAACACACGCCAGCTCGACTATCGAACCCCATTTAGAATTGAAGCCATGAATTCCAAAATAGTGCAAATCAACCAATCGACACTTCGAGAAAATCAATCTTTCTTTTTATCTTGGTTCATTCAGTCATTATCTATTTTGTTGATTCTTGCTGCAATCATTAACTACACATACATCTTTGTTACGTGTGCATTTTTAATATTATTAAGTAGACCTAAGTAAGCTGAACACAGTTACATTAATAACTCATATAACTCATACAGATAATGTTCAAAAGTAGACTTGTGCTACTTTGGAATTCACAATCTCGATTCTTCTTTCTCTTATTTCTTCCAACTTAATGGCGACAGGTCAAATTGTTATAAAATATGGTTGAATGGAGTAAGTCAAACCTTTAAGGACATTATTATAATGTACCACATGCTTATATTGAAAACTAGTATACCAGTAGTATACTACTTGCAGTAAGATATAAGATACACTATTATGAACGAAAGTATCCGTAGAATAAAGAAATTATCGGACAGTTATGAAAAGTGCACAGAAGTAATTTGATTTGAATTAATTTTTCTGTGTTGGACATTATTGATTAAGAGTCAACAGAGATTAATTGACTAAAAATTATTCTTAAGAAGAAATGAAATTATTAATTTAATATATTTTTAATTGAAAAGGTCTGGAATTACTGAGCCTGGAACAGTTCTGTAAATATCACTACTATACAACATATATTAAACAATCATAAAGGATTAACATCACAGACATGAATAATATCATATAATATTGTTAAATAATAATAAATTATAATATCAAATGAAGAATAAGAAACTAGTAATTACTATTAATATAAGATACAAACAAATGAATACAATACAAACCATTCTAATTCTAAATAAACGTCTACACGCATATTCAATAAAGATTATATTAAGTCGTCCCATAAATTCATGCCATGATGTATTTATACTTCTCACATCACGTTTCCTAATCACAGAGCGATACGAGAACTTGGGTGATTAAATCTTTATGCTTCAGAATAGTCAGTATGTAGGTGTTCGAAAGCGACAGGTCGTGAAGGTATAAGAATTTTATATTTAATAAAATGTATATACTATTATAGAAAAATGAACAAACTACAGAACAGCCTAATATTAAGAGTTACTCGTAAGTCAATTACTGATGTTTATGATCCGTTGTAAATATTAAAAAGAATAATGACTTCGTGTGTAAAATGAATCAAAATGATTTTAAATACTTTCATCTAAATGGTTACAACTCTTCTGATACTAAATTCCACTGATTTAAACAAAGATTGTCGAGACTAACAATTCGTCTAAATATTTATGCATTCTCTATATTTTTCTTTTCTTTTTCCTTTATACTGATCTATTATAATCAAGTATAGTTCTATCAGTCAAACATGTACTGCTAGAAAACATTCTATTCGGATGGTAAAACTTATTTAAATATTGATTGTTTAATACGAAAATCTTACTACGATACAAATAGAATTTTCACACTAAAACTACTGAGCAATTGCAGTGAGTTATTTCTAACTTTTTATAAAAATTGTAACAACACATTTGTTTCAATACACAAATTTATTTTACGATCTCTTGCAAAAGCGTCTTCACAACTTAAATACTTGCAGAATAAAAATTCTGAAATAGGTAAATGTAGTTCTAGTATTAAATCCGGTAAACCACAATTTATACGAAGGCAGTACAATATGTCTGTACAATATACTCTTGAGATTTCTGAACTTTTATCATTTCAATTTCTATCGCATAAGAGAACCGGTATTTCTAAAGTATCATGCAAGTATTGATATCTTTATCGCGGAGTACCGGTTGGTTCAGAGAACTATCCACTTGACCTTATCTACTTTTCCCATTTGAATAGGTCAGCGACACAAACCACTGTAATACAATCATATAGAAATGTATGTGATCTTAATTTAATTACATTTTATCTAAATCAAACAAATCATTTCTTTCACGATAGTAAGGTGACTTTTCTCATAAACGAAAGAGTATGGAATTTGAACATTGGAATGTTTGTACAATCCACACGCTATATTCCATTAGGTCGGCACGTGTAACAGCACGGAGCTATTTTATTTTCATGTATGTATTTCTTTTCTATTTTCATTTTATTCTCTATGCCTTAATGGCTAGTTGAGAAATTGGTCGAGTATATATATAGTATATACAATATTAATAATTTTATAATTATGATAATTATTATAATTATTATATTATATAAATATATCACAAATGAAACATTGTTTAACTAAAATTATATCCTTTTCAAATGCACGTAGGTTTTTTATTAAATCATTAAAATTAAATCACCAACGATTTTACTTTAATCTCTATTAAAACGAAACGATTAGCACAGTAACCAGGTCACTAACGAATAATAGTCATCAAGACTTCCAACTAATAGTATTTCAACGTCTTTATAACTTATCTGAATTACAGAAATTTTATGTTTATATAAAAACATAATTTAGCACTTTGATGCTAATTAAATAAAATACATTGATATCAAAAGTTCATATACCATTAAGAAAATTTCTGTTACGAAGTACCGCAGAAATGTTAAGTTTCATAGTCATCACTGTATGTGTTTTTCTCTTTACGAACGTACGGAAGCAATGACTATCAGGTCACTAATAAATGCAAATAAAGTTGACACAGTGTTTCAGCACATGGGTGTAATCCGGACGCCTTGCCCGATAACGCAACGAACGAATAAATAAAGATAATTATGAGATAACTACACGACGGAGCTACCAGCAAGCTCATAAATTAGTTCGAAGGCATAACGAAGCTATCGAAGTTTCATCCGTCAGAAAATTTTTATTTCGCACCGCTATGACTTCATTATCTCCTACCAATAAGAAGTACACGATTTGTTCGCCAGAGCGCTTCGTTCACTTTCATCCGGTCGCAGACGGTTGCCTCCTTTCGCCTGTTAATCATTTGCCGCTTCAACAATCACTAACAATCACTCCTCGATTTCTAATTGCACCGTGTAACCATCTTATTCATGGTAAGTACTTATTAGCATCGATAATGTCACTCGAATTATCACTTGAACGTTTCATCCCCACTGTAAATTAAACGTTACAGGGCACACCACCATTAACATACATCATTTAGTCTTCACCATGTAACACAATAGTATTATAATACCATTAATTAATAATTATTATTAATAATACAGTAAATTGTATTTATAAATTATAACACGTAGAACAGCAACGATTTTTAAAGAAGAAAAGTTCGTTCAAGCGAAGATTTCAATCGATTTCTTTTTATCTCTTCTTCTGGATTTTTCATGAAAATATTTGCCAGGTCAGTCGTGATACACTGGATAGTCGTGTACCCAATGCCACAGAATATTTCATGGTCTCACGGTGCGATAGAGCCTAGGAATCCATTTAAGTATATTGGATCAATGTGATCGAAGTTGGCGTTCGAGGGAGGTCTCGCTTAAAAATCCAATATTCTGTTCCGAAGCGCCTTCGTTAAGACAACGATCTTGCTAATGATGGACTCATTGACGCTTCGTAGTCTTGGCGCGACGAAAAGTGTCCTGTGTAATGTGTTCGACCCCGATAAAAGCTTCCGCTGCGGGTTTATCGAATAAAGCTTACGAGATAAAGCTAGTGGTAAAAATGAAAGTGATTGAAGTGCGAGAGAGTATGGACTTAGTTATTGCTGTGACAGTTAATTTATAGTAGACATGTGTTCACACATCCACGTCGGGACATGTTCCTATTTGTTTAACACTAAAACTACCAGATGGATGAAAATGACTCATTCCTGATGTCTTTTCTTTGCAATTACTAGAAAAGGTAACAGATGTTTCTCTACGAAATTATTAAAGAAATTAATTTAGCAATACGTAAACTGAATTGTAAATCAATTAAGGTCTCAATAGATGAACTCTTGTAGTTTTTGTAGAGGAATTTCAAAACGTCAATTTAACTGCTCGGTAGGTTTAGTATTAAACATAGATTGTAATAACAATATTTGCAAAAATATTGATGAGGTGCAATCTTTTATTACGTGTCTAGTTTTCTGACTTCAGTTGCTCACTGTGAGTAAACGTCAGTAAACAATTTCATGAATAATTTAATTATTATTAACACGTTGACTGCTACGATGGTCACCGATGCCCGTAACGTCTAAATTACTTGAAAACAATTACAAGAGGAAAACTGATGTATCAAAATATTCAGGTAGGTAGCTAAATAATAGTATAACTTAGAAACTATGACACCAAACCATTAATACGTTAAGCGCCATGAGAATCTTGAACGTTTTACTTCTTTATTCGTAGCAAGGGTAAATAGGAACAATTATAATTATTAATTATTTCGTTCACTTATTTATGTTATCGAATATTTTTTAATCGTCAGCAGTTATCTTGCATATAGTAATTTTTTTCAAGTAATTCAGATGCGTCGGTCATCGGTGACGCGGCATTTAACCTGTTAATAATGCTAAGACAATTTGCCTTCGCTGTAATATTATAAGTAATATCATACGAAACGCTCTACGTTCTCGTAATATTCAATGTGTTTAGAAATTATAAGATTTTAATTAAAAACGTTCAGTTTTGCTTCGAAAAAAATGTAACGAGTCTATTTCAGTTAACTAATATTTTCGTAGCCCAGTACTATTTTTTATCGGATAATAAATTACCATCTGAGATGGTGGAGCATACTGCAAACGAGTAAGAGTGAACACTACTGAGAAACACGTTTGGACGGCTTCTGCAACTTCAAAGCTTCCCTTAGCGATGTCCACGCGGATCGACTGTTTATGCAATATATTCCTTTCTTTTTCATTAAATGTACTTTTATAGAAAATTAGCTGATCAATTAGTGAAGTTTTTCTAATGAAAATGAGACTGAATATAATGTTATTTGAGGAAACTGTCAATTAAATTTATAATCAAGTCGAAGAAGTAGTATATCGTTTCTTTTATAAGATCTAATAAAAAATAATTAATCCATGGAGATATGGTTATACAATAATAAAAATTTAAATTATATTTAACAAATGACCAATTTCTTTTACCGCCATTTAAAAACATATTAATTATCTACATACCTGTGTTATCCGCAATGCTTTATTGCATTGTTTTAAATTGCAGAAATCGTTTGAAAATAAAGCATCAAATGAAAATATGCAATTCTTCGATATTATGTTTCACATTAAAATTTCATGTTACGATAACTTGATAATTTAAATTTAACATTTCAATAATTTTGAATGTAATACGGGCATCATTTGGTTTTATTTATTTTCAATTTATTACTTCATTACAAATTACTTTTAAATAAAGCTTTACTCAGAAACAAAATCATAAATGTACCAAATAATTTCGAACTAACTTTCTTAGATCGATGTCTATTTCGAAAAATGTAACAAGTAAAACAATGAAAAAGTTTTTCACAACCGAAGTTTCAATAAAGTATGAGATTATAAGAAATTTTATTTAAATAAGGTTTAGAAGAATTTACACATTTGTGTTTAATTACACTTGAAGTATTACCAATATCCCTGCGACATGTATACAATTTTTCAAATAGAAATTAAAGTGATTAGAGATTAATTATTTTATTTCAATTATAAATTACATTTAAAAACTTGTATGTGCAGAGGTTATAGCAAATTAACATACATTCCTGGGAAACATCTTCAACGTGCATTGGGCAACGAAATGTTGCTGTACACCGTTATTTAAGGATAGAGTCTCGACCATCATTTCCATTACGTGTTGTATAGGGTGTCTCAAAAATTACCATTCTTTATTAATAGTTATCAGTAATTTCCAGAAAAGAAAATGTTATATTTTGTGCATGTATATGTGTTCTTTGAAAACCACATATTGATAACATCAAAATTATGTTTTACTTCGATTAGTATACGACAAATGATAGTAATACTTATTCAATTTTTTAATATTTATTAAACGCAAGACCGATTTTTTATCATATCGCAAATTTTTATGCAAAGTAAATATAAATAAATATAATTTGTGAAAATTAGAGTTAAATATAAGTTCACATTCTCTTTCAATGATTTTTGTGGGAACGTTAACATAGAAGTGGAAACGATGCAGCAAAATATTGCAGTAAAACTTATATTTAATAGAAATACTCATTTAGGTCTCCCTTTTTCTTATGAAGAAGATAGAAAAAAAGAAGATTCGTAATTCCTGAAATACCTAGTTTAAAAAACAATAGTTTCTAGGGGCTTATTTCTAGTGTATAATTTAATTTATACGTTGATATACTTATATTATTAAACTCATACACATTTACTACCAATTATTAAAGAAATATGATTCTTCAGTTGGACATAAATGCAAGTTTCCACATAAACAGATAATATAATTATCTCAATAACAAATTACAACGAAAATCATTCTTGGTAATTAATTGTTGCTTCATTAAGGTCAATCAAAACTAAATTTTTATTTGCACAAGTCTAATGAGTTTCATCGTCGAATTGTGTTTATTTTCTACATACGTATTTACTAAATGATAAGTACTTACACTTATCATTTTTATTTCTCAAATTAAGCTTCGACGTGATTTTAATGCTTCGCATCGTTAAAACTTCAATATAATTGTATCGTATTCCAATTACATTTATAACTCGATCACTTCTATTATCAGTTATTAACTTGAATCATAATGAATACATAAAAATATGATAATAACACGCAAATATAGCTTTAGAATGACATCATTGAAATTTACCAAAGTTTGTAAAGCATATTTACTTAAACAGTATAAATATTCATGAGCTTAAGAACTAAAAAAAACAACTGTAAATATTAACAAAAGATTAGTTT